TCAATTCAATCAAACAATTATCCCGCAAACAGTTAATCGACACTTAAGGGTCCTAAGTACTTTTCCGGTCTGCATCGAAGTTTTCGCCGTCCACGACAAAGGAATTTAACAGGGCTACGATGCATTTCACTTCATAATCAGCGTCGTTATGCTATTTTAACTCGTTTGACGAAGGTTTATCTATGTCACCGTTTCAACTTGGTCAAAGCCTTGCGGAGATATCGTCGGTTGGCAACATGATTTTTTTGTTAAACCTCGACAAGCCATCATGAGAGTTAGAAAAGTATCATTTTAATCACTTCCAAATCGGACTGGATTTAACTCAAATCAATTTCTAGAAGGGTACGTAGTTTCTCAGTACATGATATATCATTACGAGAAATTGCTTTCCAGTTCACTTCGTAAGTCAGCGCTCTTTTTGAATTTTGGAAGCCACTAGCTAGGCAATAGACCGCACTTTCTATCAGTTTTCAGGCGTAACAACCCACGCGGGATGTTGGGAGAACACGAGGAAAGTTTGTAAAGCACGGGCCGTAGGCGAAAAAACTAAAGACATTTAAATTTTCTATGAGTTTACCAATGCACTAACCGATAGGTGTCTGACCATTCAGGGGGCGCATAGTATCTCATTTATTTCATGATTTGTTTTAAGGTCATTATCATTATCAGTATCACCATCAATATTTTTATTATTATTAGGTATAATTTCTCAAATGGAAGTAAGGGCGTCACGTTTTCCCGGGAACACCACCCCTCCCCCCCCTCCCCCCCTTTCGCTACGTCCTGATACTTATTCAATAAAAAAATTGTTGTCATAGAAAGTGAAGAATCTGCAGATGATGGTCACGTGAGCGAGGAAGAGGTGACACAGACCATAATAGACGAGGATGGACAAGAGAAGACTGTAACAGTTATGGTACAGAAGCCACCCAAACCGAAGAGGAAACAATCTGAGGTCGGCGAAAAAGACGGAAATGAAAAGGAAGGACAGGAAAAAAAGAAGCGAAGGGAATCGAAACACAGTAAGGACAAAGACAGCTCCAGGGAGAAGGAAAGGAAGCATTCAAAACACGATAAGGAAGGCGACGAGAAGGATGACAAGAAGAAGAAAAGAGACAAAGATAGAACCAGTTCTTATGGCGGTGACTCCGTGTACGGCAAAAAGGACGACAAGAAGAAGGAGCGAAGAATGACGATGGATTCACTCTCTGAGACGCCGGAGTTAATTAACATTAATCGGAGACTCGAGGCAGCTGAAATGGGAATCAAGAGCTTGAGGAATATCATCGACTCCATGGTGAATCAGGTGGACTTTGGTGATGAGGTCGGAGGAATGCTGAAGGCCCAACTTGATCAGGTTCAACAGCAGCTCAACAAGGTCGAACTTCTTCCTGAAGGTGAAGCTGCGAAGAAGGAGAAGAAACGAAAAGGATCCAAAGCTAAGGGTCCCCAGGACGTGCCTAAGGATGGGATCATTACTGAGGGATCTCAGCCAGCCCCAGGTGTGGGTGAAGATCCTACTCAGCCCACGAACGTGATTCCCGTTATCCCGCCCCCTGGCCAAATGTCACAGGATATGCCTAAGCTACAACCTGGTCGTTTACCTTCAAGAAAGGATGAAAAGCGTAAGATAAGCTTGCCAATGAAAGGCGGAGAACGACCCCCTAGTCAGGGAGATAAGACACCTTTACGAAGGCGCACCACCATAGAGGATTTGAAACTGCGGCGGAAGGCTCGTGAGGAAGGCGTAACCATAGAGGAAATAGAGGCACGAGAGGCAGCGCAAGAAACTAAGAAAGAAAAGAAAAGCAAAGAAAAGGAAAAGGAAAAAGGAAAGGAGGACGAGAAAGAAAAGGCTGACAAGAAGAAAGGCGAGGATAGTTCTGATGAGGAGTCACTCGACTCTGAGGAAGAAAGAGAAGCAATGGAAGAAATGATCATGGAGGAGATTGAAGCAGCATTGGAGAATACGGATGACCCTGAGGCTCAAGCTTATGCTTTAAGGCTCAGCATCGAGCAGATGAATAACATGAAGAAAAGCTTCATGCAGTCACAGGAAGAGTTCAAGAAAGACATGGAGAAGAATAAGAGAGCTATCGATCTAATTGCCAAGGATTTGGCCGCCTTTCGTGCGTCGAGGAAAGCTCAGGTTAGCAATGGAGTTGAATTGTTCACAGTCTCTTAATATTCGTACGCGGTCAGTAGGTCGCGGAAAACAAACAGAACTACCTGCCCTCTTAAGCCCAGACTTTTGGTTTACTTGATGAAGTAACCACGCAAATAGACAACCTTTGCTCGATCAACCGAATTTAATCACACGTGTAAAACTTGCTTTGCCAACTGGATTTTATCTATTTCATTCTCACAGGATGCTGAAGGCTTCAACGCTGTACATCACGTGCACAGCATGGTCCTCGAACTGCAAGCCAAACACGAAAAGTTGGTCCAGACCACCGCGGAGCTCGTGAACGAGTACAACAGACGCGAAAAGAGCCTAGAGGAACTGTATGATTCAGTTGATAGACTGGACCAGAAGAAGGCTGATAAACAACATGTCAGTCAGGAAATCGGCATAAAGGTTAGTAAAATCAGTCTTGGCAAGTAGCGCGATGACCCTCTTGGGAAGCTGGGGATTAGAGAGTGAGTAAAAAGGCCAACCAGAGAACTTTTCAGAAATGTGAAGTGAAAGAAAAGAAAAGTGTCAGAAAACCCAAAATCTTCTCGACGGCCAATCAGAACTAAAGAGAAGATCACTGAGAGCTAATAGGGAATCAACTTAAAAACATCAAAGGCCATGAAGCACGGGAAAACGCGATTGACTAAACCACGTTTGTTTTTAGTTTTGAATGTGATTGGTTTCAAGGCATAACTCGAGCGAAGGAAAACCAGTGGGAAGAAAAAAATAAATAAAACAAATCATATGCTAGATTACTTTCAACGAATTGGAGAGGAATGTCATTGGCACTTTTACGATTTCTAGTTTATTGTCTGGTTTAAGTTCGCCTATAGTCCGAGCATCAACTTCCTCACGCTTATGGTTGAGAGGACTTCGCTGTCGCTTGAATCGAGTACTTGTTGAAATTGAATGAAAAGGAAATTACTCTGCTTCTTTAACAGGGGGACTAAATTTCTAATCTCAATCTTGATTTTTAAAAGTTCTCTCTCAAACGTAAAAGTCAACTGATTTCATGTAACTATTATGTGCTGTAGGCGGACAAAGGAGACCTGGAGTCGAAAGTGAGCGTAAACCAATTTGACGAGAGCTTTAACTTGCTGGACCGCGGGCTCAGTGATGCTCTGGAGAAAATGGAAAGCCAAATGAGCATTGAAGACGCATTAAGAGAAACTTTACAAGAGTTACAAAGCAAGATGCATCTTAAACTTGATAGACAAGAGCTGGATTCGCTTCGAGACCAACTGGAATCACGCATCAGACAAGTGCAGGTTGTGCGCGCCACTGTTAAGGAAAAACCTGAAGATGGCGAGCCAGCTGGCTTTAGGAGGTACAGTGTGAATGTTAAGGTTACTAGTTTACTCACGCTTTACACCTCTGTAATAATTATTTCTACGCCTATCGGTTAGAAAAATTAGAGTTTATCTTTGTTGTAAATGTTTGTTTTCAGGAACAAGCCGGAGAAAGTTCACTGCATTTCGTGTGATCGGCCTTTGGAAGTCAACCCGGGAGGGATTGGGCCTAACATGCCAAAGATGCAAAGCCTACCGGGACAGAAGTCTTCTAAACCGTACACGACGTTTGAACTGGAGCACATCCGACAGCACCAGAAGATGAATATCGCCAAGAAGCCTCCGGTTATCGGCGCCGACCTCGGTTACCAGGCGCAGAAGCTCAAGAATGAGGTGGTAGCCATGACTGGTCTTGTGGATCTCATAGAGCTCCCTCCCTCCCAGCGGTACTGCGGAGGCTCACACACCATCATGCATCCATTTAGACGCTCCTTCAAGACAACGGGTTCTCATCTCAACCAGTATGTGGTTATACGTGAAGATAGTGACGCCGCTGTCACGCTTCCGCGCAGGGAATTCATAGTGCCACGTGACAATAACCTGAAGCGCTACATGAAACCTAAGCTTCCTGCAATAGGGCAGGCCAACACAAGGGAACCCTCCCCTCCCCCAGAATACATCAACGAATTAAATGAGCGGCCACTAAGTGCCCCGGCCACCCCCTCAGTGGGTCATAGACGAAAACTGAGCTCGCCCCAGGCTCTCAACGAAAGATCGAATTCTCCTCCTCTAAACGAGGCTGAATCACCAGGGGGGTCACCCGTCCAAATGGAGAAGATATCAGTTACAATCCCTTCCCCAACTGGCGAAGAAGAATAGCGAACGGGGAACTTATATTAATTAGTAAAAAAAAAAATGAAATTTTATGTAGACAGTTCGCGGAAAGATGGCATTTTGCAATTTTCTTAGGTGTGAGCTTAAAAGGTTTAAAAATGAAAATTGACCTAAGCAAGATATGAAATTAAGTGTGGAAGTAAAATTATAGTGTGAAAAAAAAAGTGAGAGGAATGAGCGAGTTTGAATCGAGTGTAACAAGTAAACTGGAATGATGTTATTGATGTTTATCAGGTTAAAAACCTTGACGCTTCTTTCTCAACCAATGAGATTTAAAACTAAAACGAATCATAACTTGTTCAAACCTAACTACTTTAATACCCTAAAGGCTCTTTTACATATTTCCGTTCTGCCGATTTGATTGGTTTTCGTTCAATCGAAACTTGCTGTATTTGTAAATAAGTGCGAACTTCTTCCAACATGACCGTGTTATTTTGTTTATTTTAAGATTCGTTTGTTTTTCTGTAAATAAACTTGTGAACCGACTTGAGCGCGTTATTCACTTACGAAAGGCAGGTATTCCTGTATCTTCTTTCTTTTTTATACCCTCGAGTGTCTCAGAGAAAATAAGACAGCAGGCGACCACCATTGAAATTAAATGAAAGTTTACGTGCCATGCTTCGGAAAATTTTCTGTAAAAGTTTCTCTACTAAATGTTTAATATTCCTTTGGAGATATAACAGCAATTACACGGTTTCATTCGTCGAAGTAGGCCCCGCATATTCACATACGTCGGGAACGCTGCAACATAACGCAAAAATTTGGAAAGTTTCATGTATTACACCTAAAACGTTTACAAAAATAACACAAACTTAAAATCCCTTTCAGAAAGGATGAAGACCGGAGAAGTCTAAAGATATAACTCGCTTGAGTGTAAATGGTTAGAGTGACTAACGCATGATACAGCTAGGAAGGAAAGCTTGAAATTTTGGATATTTTTTCCGTTTTCGTGTGAGAATTTTTCCTTCAAAAATGATTAATAGTAGTAACAAATGATTGAAACGATTTTTCCAGTATATTGAGAGTTTATTTATAATACACTTTAATATGAAAAACTGTAATTTGCCCTCAATGAAGAGTTGACTAGAAAAAGAGATGTTTCCTTGTGTTAGAAAACGAGGTGATAAACTTCACTCTCTGACGAAGGCGCCTAATCCTTCTGACTTCGATGACTCTATAGGTATGAACGACTTTTAAAACGTGCCCAGTCCCCTAGGCACAGCTCTACGACGTATTCTAAGTACGGGAATCTCCTTCAGTGTGGTCGTTGGTTTTACTGTTGAGCCATGTGACTGTTCCACGCTGTGTCATAAGTTACCAGCGGTATGCCAGTATGAAGTGGGAATGATTGACAGATGCCACTTCAACATAACGTCATACTCTGACATGGTACGCTCGCGAAGGACTGGACGGCGTATGTCTGTCCTTCCGCCTGATGACAAAATACACGCACATTCTTTGCATCATGTAATTCTGAAAACGCCACTACAAGTCCCTTACTACGTAAATTGGCTTCTACACGGAAGTCTCACTGAGGGGTTAGGTTCACAGTCGAGACAAGTGAACTGCAATTATTTTCATTCAAATGTAAACAGGTCTGGAGCAATTAAAATACTTACGGTGAAAGTTGTGTTGAACCCTTTGCTTTCTCTGTTTGAGTCAGCGTACTGGAGGCGTCAGGCTTCCTTGGAGAACTGATCTGATAGGAATGAAACTATAAACACAATTACGGTTAAAGTTGCACCATTAATTTGAGATTATTAACATGGAATGGCTATGATTATAAGTCATCTTTGTTGAGAGAGGATAACTACTCTACTATCAATTTCCAAGGATTCTACTTGGGAAGGAAGGGGTGGGACTCATTAAAGGGAGAGCTAATTCAAAACTCATTGAGAGAAAACGCAAATCATTATTTTTCTCTAGAATTGTCTGAAAAATTTAAAATTTATTTAAAAATTTATTTAAATAATTTATTTAAATTGATTTTCTAAATTTATTGAAAATAAGATAACTCAAGACAGAAACTAAAAAGCTTTCAAATAAAAGTTTATTTTGCAACCAAGCCAAAACCAGAGAGAGAGAGAGAGACAGAGAGAGAGGCATATTAGGGTGGGATCTGTTACACACTTACAGTTTTAGACAGTGATCTTACTAGAGAAGAGGCTGCTTATAGCAATATTGAATTCAAAACACACTTGAACATTGTTTTACCGATACTCTGATTTCTCGGGTGAATCTATCCAAGATGCTCTTCATTTCTGGTTGACTTGTCTTCAGTGGACTCAAAGTCAGGTACTACAGGAAAAAATTCAGAGAGTTAACCAAAGATTCTTTAAAAATCAGTCAAAAAGAGAGAAAAATTAAGACAGTACAACTATGATTGCTCCAAGAAGTTCCCTGAAAGGAGTCATAATTTCCAGGGCCTTTAGATACGGGACTTATTAGAGGAAGTAGGAGGGCTAATTGCAAGCTCATCGATGAGAGCCAAAGTACAAGCCATTACTTTTCTTCTGATGATCATTCACCTTTTAATGAAGCCTATTTACAGTATGCAAACCTTAAAGCCTTTCAAATTTAAGTATATGCTACTATCTGAAGCCCAATTGAAAAAAGAGAAAAAAATTTTTAAGTCCTTGTTTGGGCCAGGGGTTCAAGAGAAGCATTTTGGAACAGTAATGGTGGCTATAGTCAGCCTTAGAGAATTATGTAGGTAACAGGAAACAGTCACAGAAGCTATTGGCACCAATTGAACCCAGATTATTCGCAATAGTCTGGCATCTTATTTAAATAGAGTGGTCCAGCTCCTTAGTCTCTTCATGGCAGAGAAACAGGTATCAACTAAAACAGTAATGGACTGTGAGCTCAACATAAATTTTACCTTCCACTGAATTCTTTCACAGCTGTGAATATCATGAACTACAGGAAGACTCAGTTTTATTTTCTTTACATTATGAAGATCTGCAATGAAGAAAAAAAAACAGTTTTGAAATTAGTACTCCTATCCTCATGTAGAGAGATATCTGTTGGTAAAATGTCTCCTCACAGACAATCCCCATTCCCCCATACGCAGTCACTCAGGAGAAATTAGTTTGAGCTGTTTGTGTGAGAGGACTATTATGATTGGCTTCTCTGCAAATCAAGGCTTGATTGGAATGAGTTTTATTACAGCATGTTCCCCTCATTAAAAAGAAGATGGAACATTATTAGAAATAACTTAACAGCTCTGATACAGAACTTGAAATTAGGTTTCCTCTATCGCAACTCACAGTTATGAACCCTTGCTATTACAAACCAAAAATAATAATCATAAGGAGTTATGAGAAGGTTCAAGGTTATGGAGTGCAAAAAAGCATTTCATGTCAGCTACACACAGCAATGCACAAGAAGCTACATACAATTGTTATATGACTTTGTGAAGTCATCAAGTAAATCCAGGAGACTCTGTTGAAGAGAGAAATAAAATATTTCTAAGTGGTCAATATTTCTATGAATAGAAGAGAAATTTGAGTGATGGTCTCAACACACTATTTGTCTTGAGAAGGTGACACTTGGTTCAATAAATGTACAACTTACAGTAATATTTATGACCAAAGTGACTAGACAAAGGTTTATTACAAGAAATTTCCTGAATCTTAACTTTACTACAAAGTACTTAGCAATTAATTGTCGAAGAAACATTCAAACTGTATTTGGCAGTCATGTCAAATGTTTGGCTACTTACAAATTTGATCTTAATATCCCATATGCCTCTGCAGTCAGCCACAAAGTCAGTATTTTGCTCTGCCTTACAATCTCATGATTAAATTTCAACTAAATGTCTTAAGGTCCTGGTTTAAGACACAGGAATTAACAGAAGGGGAAAATAAGTGCCAGTAATAACTCATAGCAGCCATAGCAGTGTAATGAGTAAAAGAGCAAAGCACAATTAAAGGTGTCATGTCTTAAAGTGTACTTTAAATTTCAAGGGCTTGAACATGAGGTCATCTCTTCTGCTTAATCCCAATGTCCCAAATTTGCCATTGTAGTGTACTCCAAGCACCACATGCCTAAAGATGAGCCACAGTCATTAAAAAAAAAACAAAGACAACAACAAAAATACAAATAACAACTACTTTCGGGGCAGAACCAAACTACATTTATGTTAACCCTTTAACTTCCAGAAGTGATTGACATGTAACCTCTCCCTAAAATATCCATACATTATCCAACAAACACTTTATAAGAATACACAAATTAATCAGGCAGAAGATGTTACCTTGCTCCCACACCAAATTCTCATAACTACCTAGTTAACAAGGTAATGTGTAGAAGCAAAAGGGGAGAATTAACAATCAGATCTTGGGAGTTGAAGGATTAACAAAATAACTGAGATAGTATGAGTGCCCCGGTAACTGGTCAAAAACCTATCATATATTCTACCAGTAAACCCATAGAAAATTTAAACATATCATGTTTGGTTTTAAGTTAATATTATTAAAATTATAAAAGCACTAGACTACACTTTCTATCAGTTTCCTGGTGTAATTAACCACTTAGGATGTTAGGAGCACTTGCCCCCAGCTCTTGTTATAGCTCTGAAAAATTGATAGAAGCACAGTCTATTGCGTAAATAAACAAGTCATTCACACAAATGGAAAAAAAAGTTTTGTCAGTCCCTACCTGAAAAGGACATATTGATTATATGTTAATCAGTTGTAATAATCTTGGAAATTAAAGCTCAGATGCTAGGGAAATTATTGCTTCATTCAGATCGTTTTGCAACCTCAGCAGCTTACTTTCCTATGATCCTTTTCAAACAACCTTAGCTTGCTTAGTTTGCATAATGGTTATCACCTGTAGTAGTGTCCATTGAACTGTGTTTTAAAACTGATGGTAAACCGCTGCATCTCAGTCATACCACATGTAAAATACCTTTCATTTTTGTTAAGTGTCCAATGTTTGATTCCTTTGTTAATAATACGGCTATAATTCATTAGAGCAATAAGCTCAATTCAAAACTAAAAAAATCTGTCACTACTTAAGGACAGAGTTTCCATTTGGAAATGAAGCAGCAGAATAATTGAGTGGATATTCTCCTCATCTGTAGAAAAATTAAGACCAGGCCATTAAAATTAAGTCAATGAATTCCAAATTCTGTATGGTAGTTGGGGAATTGTCTCTCATGAGGTGCCCAACAAACACTCTGCAAGAGAAAGCTTACATGTACAAGAGTAAAGGATACAATCCTACAATAACAGCTTCAAGGCATTTAATGGGTAAGGACTCTTTTATAATTTCCCTTGCTGTATCCATCAACCTGTAGAGATACAAAAATTCTTTGCTTATCATAGAGTAACTTCACATGATACAACCTTTTCAGTAAAATATCGAGAAAATGCATTTCACGCATTGTGACAATTTTTGTGTGCTATTTAACTGCATGTCTGTACTCTAACAGAGCACTTTATGTCATATTCTAATTGAGCTAAGTGTGTCTGTAATTCAGTTATTTTCCTTTTCAACTCAAACACTACAAAACAGACATCTTGAAAATCAAGAAACATTTCAATTAACTGACGAAGTAACACACAATTTTCTAGACTCATTATCGAATGAATGAGTCTAGTAAAGTATAGTTTAGTAAATGTTATAATCTCAGAAAATTGGCTGTCAAATCTGGAATATTAAAGAGCTGAAAGGCATGTGGCCTAATTCACTATTTTCCATGCCATTTTTGGATCTTACTGCAAGCCATTTGGGGATCAGATTAATCATTATCCAAAAGGGACACAAACATTGGTAACAGTACCCTGTCAATGGTCTCCACTTCTTAATCTCAAAAAATTGAGTCCCTGTATGATTATATCTGTGACAGCCATGTTAAAAAAATTCAATATAGTTAAGACAAGTCAAAGAAGAAAAGTTTGCCGCATAGCCCTAAAAGAAGCCTGTAAAAATCTGCAGTCTACAAGTCTCTTAAAGATGCAATAGACCATAATATATAGGTTTTGCATAAGTTGTGAATCTGTGTATGTGCTCTGGTCTCTGCAGAGGACCACAAGGTGTTCACTTGGCTCACAGACGGTAAACTTTGCTAGTAAGTGGCCATATCTGAAATTCAGTGAAAACTCTCCAAATGACGTCAAACTTGGAATCATATTTCTATGCACTTGTCTGTAACATTACAATTCAACATTCAGGGTCTTGAACCTCCATGACTAGGATAGGAATACAAGCAAGAATTTGAGCCACTCAGGGGAATGAGATTGTAGACAACGCACTTGGGGAAGAAACATGAAATTTGCTCAAACCAGACACAATTTGACTGCTAAGACTTCGTAATCAATGTCGTGATGTTATTACAAGGATACTGCAGTTGCTGTAGGTAGTTTTGAATCAATCCTAGCTTCTCCTCCACTGACATGACTGGTGTAAACACAGGTACAGCTACATATGGAACCTACATTCAGTTAACATTGAAACATTGAGGTCACATCAATTGGTTGTTTTGGAGAAGCAAAAATAAGTTTTATGTCTTTGAAAATATATTTTGGCGGCATAAACTAACTCAGCATTACAACTATTAACGACAGTTTTTGTGATAACTTTGATTTTGAAACGAATAGTCTGTAATAGTTGAGATAATGTTTAAATTTCAGTTTTATGTAAGTATATACTTATAATATAAATTTTACTCATGAGGTTCTCATAATTTATGATTTTTTGTTCTCAGTAAGATCTCAAACATGTATCAAATTGGCGCCTTGCCTTTGCTAGTTGTTCACTTTCTCTCACACTCTGCACAACTTGTGCTCCCTTCGGATGTATTTTCTCCACATGACGCCACATTCTTTCCCAAGTTTTCTTACTAATAGGAAAACCATCTTTGTTCACATAGAACAGTATTCCACTCTCGTCCTCACTTGGTACATCTTTGTTGTCCTCGTCTCCCTGGTCTTCGCATGAAGGGAATTTATTGGCCATGACACCAATAAGAGCTCATGCTTTTACATTCTGATACACTTTTCCCACTTCTTCTTTTGAGACTCCATTGGTACAGGAGAAAATTTTGGAAAAATCGCAAGCTTAGTGCGTTGCTATGCCAAAGGAAGACTTATGTTTAATTGGCTGCTTCATGCCGTTAGTGTCCAGTTTCTTAGAACGCGCGGCCGGTCGCTGAGAATCTGCGTTAATTTGATACTAATTAAATCCGCATATAAGCGGTTAATTACGAGCGAATCGGGTGGAATCTGCGATCCTCTTTCCGAGCGTTCGTTCGCAAGAATACACAACGGGCAAGAATACTCAACGGGCAAGAAAAGGGCTTCTGGGTCGTAAGAGCGATGAGAACGATGAGGATGATCATTTCCCATCGATCACTGTGCATACATTGTGATCGTTCAAGACACAGCATGCGACTTTCCCGATGCAAACCGAGCAAATTATGGCCAAGTTCAGGGCTGCTGAAGATGGTAAAATTTCCGCACAGCCCCATCCTACAGTATGCACTCAGTTCTTTAACAGAGAAAACAATGACAAAAACAATACATTTCCATTGGGAAAAAAGATTTGTTTTACAATAGTATGGGGCTGTGCGGAAACTTTACCTTAATTTGTATAGGTAATCACATGATTTCGAGTGCAATTTGGAATAAGTAGGCACGAGTGTGATTACGTATTACTAATATACATGAAAAAATACGAGAGAGCTTATCATAATTATGCAGAAGCAAAGCGTGCGTATCAAGTGCTAAAATAATTTATTCTAACTCTACAAGTGACATTGTGCGTTCGGTTAAAACAAAGGCCGAGGTCACAGTTTTTAGCCGTAGGGACCGACCCTTGCCCGATAAATAACATATATATTTTTTACCTTAACATTAAGTTCATTAAGTAATCGGCGAGGAAAGTAATGGTAAGTAGATTCAAACTTTTTCGTTTTGAAGTTATGAGAGTTTGCTCGTTTGTTTGCAGCAATGGCGTGTGAAAATCTGGTCTTTCCTCCACAAGAACTAAATTCGGATGATACACTCCAAAGAGACACAAGGGGATTTAATGAGGCCTTTTCTCATTGAATTCCTTAAGTTTCTGTTGTACAATTTACGGTACAAATGTCCAAATTGAACAGACTCACCGAGAGCGTATATTTGTTGTAGAACTGAAATTAAAACTTCGCTCGCCTTTCCACTACGAACCAACTGTTTAAGAAAATTCAGATATTAAATGAATGAAAGTTTCATCGATTAGCTTAACTATAACTAAATATCTCACGTTTTAACTTTCTAGGTACTTTTTGTGAACGATAAAATTAATTGCAGGCGGTTTTTAGGCCGCCTGTCAACCAACGTAATGACACCATTGCTTATACAAAAAAGTCATTCTAAAACGAAAATTTTTCAGTCGACCGAAGTGACTTGAGAGAGAGAAAAGAGAGGATTGTTTTGGTTTGTTTCTTGTTTGTTACTTCTTTGCACTGAATCAACCCTCTTCTGCATTGAATTACCTAAAACTGCGTTTATCTTAACCAATCAGAACTGGGTAATTTTTTTCATGTATCTTATTAACCATGAAATTTTTAAAAAGTTTGATCTTGAGAGAATAAAAGAAATAAAATAAAAAACTGACAAACTGTATGTTGTAAGTGTAAGTTTATTGTCAGTGTTGAGTGAAGGTAATATAAATTTGTTGGCAAAAAATTTGCACAACTGTTCCAATTTTGTTTTAAATGTTCTTTGCAAACTGTAATCCATTTTCTCGTCAGGTTGTAACACTTATTCAAACTGAAGTTCTGCTGAAAATATAAACTTGCTCACATAGTTTGTTGGAGTAAAATTGAGAGTTGTGTTGAGTTTCCTTTAATAAATATACGAAATGTTAATTTTACTTAAAATGGTTAAAAAAAAGAAGGCTAAAAGAAGAAAGTAATTCTGCTCTTTAAAGTTTTGGCAGGTAGTAAATAACTAAGGATTGAGCCTTAAAGTGTCTTTACCATGGCTAAGTTTAGGCTTAGGTGTACATTGCAATTTTTCTAAAGAATATGACACAGATATTAAGGTACTAAGCTGTTCAGACACTTAAAAACTTACATGCATTTGTGTATTTTGCAATTTGTTTCTAACTCAAACCCATCCTAATACACTAGAACTATCTCCAGAGAAGTTTCCTTTAATGACACTCAAACAACATGTTATAAACCAGAAAACTCCGCCAAAACAAGTTTTCTATGCTGTGCAACATGAAGATAGTCATCAATACGTTGACCTTGAATAACACGTTCTGTCTCGTTTCTCACCCCACTGCAGTGATGATGAACAATATGCAGGATCTTACAAGGATTTTTTATTTTAAAGCCTCCATATTTTCTGAAGTTGAAAATCAAAACTTGCTCAATGCCTCCAATGTTTGGGCGATAGTCAATCTCGTCCAATAACCAAGGGGAAACTGGTGTGAGAAGTCTGAACAGAAATCCATCGTGAGATCCTTGAAATTTTGACTTTGGTCCACAAAGATCTGTGGCATCACAGAGACGAATATTTTCTTCACTTTCATGCCTGGTGAGAGCATACATTGTTTTCCTACTCAAAATACTTTCATCCAGTTTTTCAAATCCTCTATGTACATAACAGTCAGAGTTCATAACCATTACGTTTTTTTGAATCAAATGTTTTGAGGCAAATTCAAAGGCATCTTTATAGTGCATGCGTCGACCAAGAATGATGAAGTCTAGTTTCCAATCTTGTTCCAAATTCTGTGCTTTTATGAAAATGGGGTCTTTGTCTTTTTCACAGAGAATATGAACTGCTGCAACCTAAAGGAAATAAAACTAATTTTTACCAGGTTTTATGGGGCTGGGGGGAAGAGTGAAGATAGAATTATTCTGTTTAGTCTCACTCCTGAAAGTCCTATAAATTAATTTGAATTCAGTGAGCTGAGTAATGTTTTGACTCACATGTGGACTCTGCAGGTTTTTTTGCAGACTGTAGATATACTCTGCTTGTCGCTTTAAGACATGATCTTCGACTTTACCAGAAGTGTACAAAACTGGAAACTGGATGATAAGATGTAGTTGGGCACTTGCTTGCCTGAATGGGTATGTGTCCTCTATGTCACCTGTCAAAATCCATTTAAAAAAATACCAGTTTTGGTTTTTGCACAATTGATACTTTTTCATTCATGTATAATTACAAAAATTAATGTCAACATTAAGACATGGGTAAGCATAGCATGCAAGAGTTAATTTTTTTGGTTGGGTGGGTTGAGATGGGACACTTTGTGTACCAAATGTTTGCATTTAAGTAACAGCAAAGAGCATAACTTTCAAAAGAACAAAAATATCACATTACTTCACCTTTAGAGAAAGACAAAAGAAACACCTAATTTATCTGAACTCTCGCCGATTTTTGTGTTCTATTGTCTCCATTCAGCAAAAATGAAATGCATTGATGCTATGCTTACTGTAGTCTCCTTTGCAGCTGTTGTTTGGTCTTGTCATACAACACCCTCTATTCCCCATTGGAGAGAGAGCACACTTTGTGTGACCAGACCAAATAATGGTTGCAAAAGAGACTATGCTTACTGCTGTTCGTCTGACAGTGAGAAAATCAAAATTATATCTTCTGTTAATCACCTCAAAATACAATTCCACATAATTTTACAATGAAAAGCAAACTGAAACTCTGCTGTACCTTCAATAGACCCAAACCAAAGATATATTGCAATCTTGAATAAGTGAAGATACATTGAGTTAGGGAAAAGGATAATATTTCAAGAAGGCTACTGAATTAGTTGTTGCCTATCTGGACTTAGCCCTGTGTGTGAAATAAGTGTCAAAATGCAGGTTGTAAACAAGGAATTAATGCTGATTGGGTTATGTCCAAGGTGGCCAAAAGCAAGTTTTATTTGTAGCAAAAGTCAAAATGCAGGAGAATTGCATAGAAAATTAACTATCAATAGCACTAAGTTCCATGTGAATTTTTTTCAGTGGTGTCAGATAATGCAGTTAGAATATGTGATAAAATACAGGTTGTTTACAAGGAAATGGCACATGATGGAGCAAAGTGTAATGTGGCAAAATGGAATTTGATTAGTAGAATACAATTCAAGCACAATTTCCTGGATGCATCCATGATGATTGTTAAGGGTCCAGGTACAAATTTTACCTTCGGAAGTTGAAAATCTCAGGTAGATGAAAAGTGACAAGAGAACTGTAGCACTCAGTAGAAGAAATACACGAAGTCTGGCTTTTCCATGTGACCATGATCTGCACTGAATTTAATGTAATAAAAAGTGGTTAAATTATGCTGAAGCCCATGTATAAAAACCAAAACCAAACCAATCAAAACAATTATATCAGAACAAAGTTAAATAATACAAGGTATAGAACTCAAAAATGAAAAGAAGCTCACTGCCAAAAGCACAGGAAATTATGAGAAGCCAAGTTGTGATTGCACTAGCTTTGTAACTGATTGGTTGAGGGGGAGCACTGGTATAATCCTAACCAAACATAATCTACATTCTACATCTACATATGAATTCAATTATCAATTGGTTCATACGTCAGCGTGTGCTTATCGAGATATGAAGCATGCGGGAAGTTTGGAGAGCATGAAAGATGCATAAGAGTTGCTTGAGGCGTAGCTGAGAGCAACTCTAGCTTCTTGAGTGCTCTCCAAATTTCCCAAGTGCTTCATATCTCAATGAACGCACAGCTGACATATGAACCAATTGTTTTATAACGTTTTCCACCCCATGGAAAAATTTTTTCCTCGAGGGATTTGTTTGCTGACATCATGAGCGTGCACAATAGGAATATGAAGGACGCTTCGGCAATTGAATTTGATTACACAAATTTACTAGCTATGTTATAACATTATTTGACAACTCGCGCCAACTTCATAGATATAAACAGGAGTTTACCTGACTAGCAATCCTGCAATGTAGGATATTCACCATATTGGATTTATTTTGTTGTATTGTACTTGTGATTTCATGGATAAGTAAAAAAAAGCTTGAGTTCTTTGAATCATTTAGACCTAAACCCATAACATGAAAATCTGGCCCAGAATCTTTATTCAACTTCAAAGATCTTGTATCCATCCAGGAAGTTTTCATTACTCTTTATATTGGAATTTAACCAAGACTCATTAGCCAGGATGATAACTGTGTTAAATTCATTGATCACAGTAGCAGTGCCTGCAGTAATAATGAATGTTTTCGTTTCATTTCAACAAAGTGTAAACTATCGAAAATATTCACTTCACAAACCTGTGTTACACAACGCATTATTTCACCTCGCAGTCGTCGATTTGAATTGACGATAACAAAAAAAATCCTTGAGAAAGCAAAATGATGAGAGTGTTCTTCGAAATCACTCAGTTTCAAACCGTCGGTGTTGTCGGTGAAGACCTAACCTTCATTATAGTCCACGAGCGCTCCCTCACCTTCGTGCTAGAATCTGCGCACCGCAGGGAATTCTGGGAGGAAGGCAGAAGAACGTCTCTATACATACTGTAGGAATTTAAGCCGTTCTCGTTTGCCAATTTTTGAAAAATTGTCGAATGTTTTAATTCGCTCTAGTGCCCTTTTTCAACTTGAGGACCCGAGCCTCTACCAGACCTGGGCTTATACCTAAGAGTTAAACCTTGCACTCAAAGGCTCATTTCCAACCTTGATGCAACGCGGTCGTTTGTTTTTGTCCTGAACCACCGCTTTTGATTAAATAGCGCCTCTGATTGGTCAGTTATTTTTACCTTGTCAAGTTGTCTCAAATTACCTTCTGCGTTCTCTCCGGTGAATTTGAAGACCTTGACAAAATAATTCTGTTTAAAGCAGTTCTATACGTTTTAATCTGGCATGGAATCAGATGAATCCATTGATTTTGTAGATTCCGAGGCAGTAAACGCGTATGGATCGGTTGTTGCTAAAGAGGAACACGAAAATCCTTGCGAGTATTTCGATGAAGGTGAAAATGTCGATCCACCACGTTTTCATCCATTCATCAATTTTTTTAAATTGAAGTTTGCCATCCTTGTTAAATAGGACCAAGGGTCAGTTGAAGTTTCCTGCCCGTGGAGAGGAGCTTGCGCTCGAAAGAGTGGTCGAGGTTGTTGTCCATGCAAAACAGCAAATAAGAATTTTAACGCAAACTGTCAGTGTCGCTGACGTTCCTGCAATGAAGTGACTAAACTTAAAATAATTAAACGTCCGGTAGTCCGATATTTTTCCATATTTCGAAATACCAAAATGTTCTTCCTTTATTTACAATCCTCAAGCGCTTCCAGGCGGCCTAAAATTTCGAACTTGATGTTTTTCGCTAACCCTGTATACAGAGTACTTAGCCATGCAAACGCTTGACACTTGAAAACTTTTCAATGACACGGCTGACACGGTCCTCATTTAACTCCATATTTCTCTCTGAAATATACCAATTTTTTGTTGGAAAATATTCTACCTTCATTTATAATCCTCAAGCACTTCTACAAAGTGAAAAAATTCCAACGTTGTCCGTCTCGCTGACCTTGTACTCAGAGTGCGAAGAGATCCAAGCGTGACACTAACAAAATTTTCACTGGACACGGTCTTCGATTAACTAAACGTCCAGCAGTCTGATATTTTTCCATATTTCTCTTTGAAAAATACAAATTTCTATTGGAAATATTTTATCTTCATTTAGAATCCTCAAGCGCCTCTAGAAAGTGAAAAAATTTGAACGTTGTAAGGGCTTTTCTTATGTACGTTGAAAACCTCGAAATGGACAACTCGCTAAAATGGGTTCTTT